AAAAAAAAAAAAACTAAAGCCCTAAACTAGGGTTTCGGTGTTTTGGGACTCAAGATTCCTTTACAGCAGGCTTCGGATTCCAGGGCTTAGGGTTCAGGCTTTCGGTGTGTGGGAGGGCTGGTGGGGGGGTGGGGTCGGCCAGGGCCAGATCTTCGAAGTTGAAGAGCTTCGGTGCTGCGGTTTAGGGTTTAGGCTTAGGGTTTAGGGTTTTAGGGTTTAGGGTTTAGGGTCCTACGCCTTGAAACGCTCGGTGCCGCAAAAAAATGGGATAAAATCATGGAATCAAAAGCCCAAGCCTCAGAAGCAGACTCACCAGCCAGAAAGCAGCCAGATCCCAAACCCCTAAGAAGCTACACCCAACTCCAGGCTAGACAAGCAGCCTACGTCCTAAACCCTGAAACATTGCAGGGCTTTAAAAAATCGAGCTCTCTAGCGGGTGTGTAGGGGCTCCTGTACAGCTTACCTTCAGGGCTTCGTGTACGAACCCGAAGGATTAGAAGGGAGTTTTGGTGTGCAGCATACCAAAAGATAGTCGGGACCTGTCCGGACTGTAGTGACTATGCTAATGTAGGGGTCTTAAAACTAGAATAGGGTTTTGATAGGGTTTGGGGTTCCTTACTACAGTCATAGTATAATATACCCGAAATCCCTATTCTGATTATTAAGGCCCATTACCCTGAACCTTACACCCGAAACCACGAACCCTCATTGGTAACTGCTCCACCCTCGAGCATATTAAGCAGACTTCCTCCATTAAGGGGTGTGTGGCCCTCTGGACAGTGTTTCGGGTTTAGGGCTCCGGGTATCGAAAAAAAACGGGTTTGAAAAAAGGTACATATCTGACTGCCTGCGGGATGTACGGATGAACGGTATCATCGCCTTGTCGTCCTTATCACAAGAGCAACGAAATCGCTGCTTGCAACTTCAGATTTTTGGTAGCTTCGAAGGCCAACTACACAGGGAACTAATACAGAGGCTGAAATATACGTTGTAGATCAATGTTGATCGGCACACTACTATAGTGTACATAACGGAGGAACCTAAAGAGACAGTGGCCCCTCTACCCGACCCAAACCGCGAAGCCACGTAAAGCCAAGCGGGATGCTCTTGGCATCTTGGCCAGGGCGTGGGCAGTTGCTCCATGCACTTGACAGGGGTGAAAGTGACAATTTGGTCCTCAGCTGCCAGGTCTTTGGGTTTAGGGTTTAGGGTTTAGGGTCTTTGTTGGAATCCTTCTTGAAGCCTTATGCACCCCGTTGCGCAACACTTGTGAAGAACCTTCATACAAGCCTTGTAGATTGTAGAACTTTTGTAGAACCCTTAAAAAGCAAGTTAAAGCAACTTTACCGAACTTCCCTTGTGCCCTAAACCCGAAGCCCTAAATGCCAAGAGTCCAAACCTTCCTTACACTGCACGGAGGCATGGCGGAGGTCGCTGGAGCCATTGACCAAAGAGCCCGCATGCCTCATCATCCCGCTCAGCAGGGGCTCTGCAAAGGTTCAAGTTTGCAGAAAAGGTTCTCGGCTGTAGAGTTTAGGGTTTAGGGTTTAGAGTTTAGAATATAGGTTTTAAAGTTTCGGCAAAAAAGCTCTACCAGGATCCTATCAAGGTTCCAGACAAAACTCTGTAAGCGTTCCGTAAGGGGCCATGCGGCCGGGGCTTCTTGAACCAGGGGTCCCCCCCAGGGTGTGGTGGTCCTTACAATACAGATCCTCGTATTTACTACTGAATCCCTTCATCCCTAATCAAGAAGTAGGTCCTTAAATCAGAATACGACTACGCCGCCTTATAAAGCGACTCAAGGGGTATAACCAGTTCATCCCCGAACCGTCCGATTCAGGGGTACTCCCGCGAGGGTTACGACAGGAGCCTAGAATCTGCTAAAAATCTGCTAGGCCCTCAAAGGCGTGAAACGACCTCCTCTTCGGAGAAGCTGTGAGCAAGATGCGGCCAGGCGAGCGGAACGGAGGGCTCCAAGGCTCAGCAGAGTGGGGTGGTGGCTTCGGTTTTACTGGGGCTTTGCTTTTTCAGGGTTTAGGGTTGAGGATTCAGGGTGTACACGACTTATGTTCAACGTGTACTTAGTGGGGCTAAGTCTAGGCTTCCGGTTCCTGAGCTCCGGTCGCATGTTCTTAAAGGTTTGCAGTAGGAGTCCCTTGCACATATGGACCCTCCCAATAAGGTACCCTTTAAAGGGAGCCACAAGTAGGGTCAAGAAGGGTCCCCCTTTAAGGAGTCTCCCTAATACTACCTAGGACACAGAGACCCAAGGACCCCCCAAGTTTCAAAAAGGCCGCAAGGCCAAGACCGCAATGAATCGTTCGGGTTCAGGCTTTACCTTTAGTCTCCATTGTACTTCCTTTTTTTGGGCTAGCTTGTAGGATCCTAACTGTAACTATAGAATGGCTTAAATCGATAAAAGAACTGCAATGGAGCTATGGGCAGGGCCGTTTTGGGATCAGGAGAAGATTTCGGGCAACGGATCATGCTTTTACCTCCATGGGCACATATCGGCAAATCGACAGTCGCTCTAGTGAGCCTGAGTCGAAGCTCACTGCTGACAGGCGAGAGCGTGTGGGGCTGCTCGGTGGTTTAACGCCTTTTCGGCTTTGCTGCCGTAGCCTTGGAGTTTATATAGGCGGTTCAGCCCTAAACCTTAAACCCCCAAACCCGCCTAAACCCTAAACCCTAAACCCCCAAACCCCCCTAAACCCTAAACCCTAAACCAGGGATCTT